AACAAATGTCAACAATGCTGCCTCAGCTCTGCTTGTGAACGATCCCATCGCATTGCATTATGGGAGAGCTCCTCACTTTCTGTCTGTCAGTCTATCAGTCAATCAGCCACTCTCCCGCCATCCCCTGTAAGCTGAGAAGCCTTTCTGTGCTGCCAGCCATTCAGCTGTCACCAGGACCCATCATAACAAATCCTCCAGTCCCTCCAAGGGCCTCTGATTGACAATTTGTCAGGAGGGTTTGGTTTTGTTTTGGGTTGGCTGGCAGTTGGAGGTGAATTAGGTTTGGATTAACCCCCCTATGTTCTACTTTTCTCTTATGTTGTCCCAGTCTTTTTAGTGCTCTGCTTTATGATTATTACAGTTATTTTACAGATGTGTGTGCCAGTGATGTGTATGCAAACAACATATTAGTGTAGTAATGAATGTCTCCAGCCTGTGTGTTCACTCATCACCACCATGTTGAGAGCAGGGTATTCTGTCAAATCAACACTGGGTGCACGCAGTGACCCGGGCCTAAACCTCCTCCCCAGCCCACCCTGGGGCCCCTACAGGTACATTGGACCCCCAGCCCCTGTTTCCCTGGTGGTCCTTTCTTTGTCCTCTTTCATCTGCCTATCAGATCTCCCCCCCCCCTCCCAGCTAATCTGTGGTTGGAGTGAGAGAAAAAGAGAAAAGGTGTAAGGTGTACATCTGTAAGATGGAAAGCACTTATACAGAGGTGGCAAAAGAGATTAGTAAAACTTGAATAACTAAGAGTTGGGCTGCTACTAATTACTTCAATGATTCATTCCATTTTCAAAAAAGCTTTTGATGTTTCTTTACTTGTAAACTACTAACAGATGAGTCTATCTGCACAGCTCTAAATAAATAGATCATTATTTTTTGATAGGTTAGTTTCAATTTTGCCTTTTTTAAAGTAGATTTATTCATATTGTCCAATCAACAATGCAGAATCCAAAGATGTTATGTTTAATACAAATTAAACTAAATTACTCTTATGATTACTTGATTAGCAATATTATCGCAAATAATTGTTCCTGTCAATTGACAATTAACTAACTAAGAGTGTTAGGTCTTGAAAGATCTAATTTTAAATCCTGACAAAAGGCTGCATGGTGCAGATGGATGTGAAACTAATCTTGTACATTAACTGAACATATTTAAAGAACTGAACAGCAGTGATGCTTCATTAAACTACAACTAACATCCTGCTAGCATAAAGAAAATGTTTGCGTGATGCAAGAGGATGGGGTTTTTCTCATGTAATGTCAATGGCTGTCATATAGCAACAGTTTAATCACGACTACTTACAGAAAACTAAAGTAGGAAATGTGGGGTAACCATTAAACCATTAGGATTACGACACAAATGTGTGTATGCGTGTGTGTTGCACAGCAGTTTATTGTCAGGAGGTCAGCAACACACACACACACACACACACACACACACACACACACACACACACACACACACACACACACACACACACACACACGCGTCTTTGGGTCAAGCGTCTTTGGGTCTAGAAAAGCGCTATATAAATCCCATTTATTATTATTATTATTATTACACACACACACACACACACACACACACACACACACACACACACACACACACACACACACACACACACACACACAGAGTCCTAATACATCAGAGAACTTTCTGTCCATTGTGGTGCTGTAATGGTGTGGAACAGAGTGATGAGTAGACTGTTAGCTCTGCTGGTGGATCAGCTCTCCATGCTTCATTACGTGTGTGTGTGTGTGTGTGTGTGTGTGTGTGTGTGTGTGTGTGTGTGTGTGAGAATGTAGGTGTGCGTGCCACCGTCGCTTCCTGCTCAGACTTATCGCCCAACTGTTCAGGATGCTCAGAGAACCCAGTTGTCATAGTGACGGGGGGGAAAGCAAGAGGAGCCCGCTCATTGCGCCACCTGATTGTAAGTGTGCGTGCGCGTGAGGGAGAGGGGGAGAGAGAGAGAGAGAGAGAGAGAGAGAAAGGGCTGGAAAGCAGAGACAGAGAGTTGCGCAGAAGCGATGGAGAGAAAACCTTTTTGCTGTGATCAGTGTTTCCATCAGTAGTCTTGTTCTTCAGCGGCTGTGTCGCGGGGATTACAGACAATTTGCCACTCGCGCTCTCTCACTCTCTCGGAACACAAACTTGGATTCTCTGATTCCTTACCCACACACACACCTAAACTCAGTGGTCGCTGAAGATGCTGCTGCTGCTGTGGTGTGACATGTGTGTCAGGTGTGTATGAGATGGGGGTCTAGGTGTGTTGACTCCCATGCACACTTTGACACACTCCCACTTTGACTTGAGGGACATACAGCACGCCTGGCCAGGGGCCCTCTATCCCATGGTAAATACCTCTGCTAACAAACTTAGCATGTAGTATAGTCTCATTAAGGCAGGAGCAAGTAGGATACAACACTATTTGTTTTGTTGGAAGGTAGAGATGGTTTGAGTTAGTGTGTGTGTGTGTTGTCAATAATTCTGACTTATAGTTTTTTACTAAATCAAGGAGATAGAGATGCATGTATTGTTGCTGCTTCAAAGGAAGGGAAGTGTTTGTTTTGGCTTTGCCCTTGATGTCTTTAGATAGTGGTGGTGTGTTACCAGACCTTTCCACCTTGAATACGCTGGAGTGTGTAAGCTTGCCTCTCCCCGTGCAGTCTGCCTGTGCATGAGTTTATGAGATTGTGTGTGTGTGTGTGTGTGTTTTGCTCTCTGGCTCTATCTTCCCTCTTCTCTCCTGCTGGCTGTGTCCCCTCAGGCAGTGACTCTGCGTAAGCAAGAAGTGTGCGTATGTATGTGTGTGTGTGTGTGTGTGTGATGTGCATTTTCACACTGTTATACACGGACAGGGAAAAAAGCATCACAGTAACCTTAGGGTGTAATTAGCAGGAGAGACTCAAAGTCAAACAGAGAACAGAGGGAAATGGAGAGAGAGACTGTCTGTGATAAAATGATAATTAGACGAAAGGAAAACGACAAGAAATAAGTAAGAAATAGTAACATTATAAGCTGGAGCCGTTTTATCTGACTGCTGTTTTTTTTTATCATTATAGCATTGCTGTATGTGTGCTCACATTTTGCTGCTGAGATGATTGAAATAGATGGAGAGAACTTGAGGAGAAGTGCTGATTTGTTAGGTCTGGATATGACAGTTTTGTTTGTCTCAGTTTTGAGGTAATATGACATCCTCTCTCCACCTCCCGCTCTCTGTGTTTCTGTTCTGCTAGAGACCTCTCTGTCACAGGTTATCTCTCTCTTCCCCTGTCTCTGTCTCCCTCCCTGTCAGAGTACATGTATGAGCAGCAACAATTTCTCCTCCCTGCTCAAGGCACTCAGAAATCACTCTGCTCCAAAATACTCCCAAGTCTTATTTTCCCTTCTCCCCTCTACCCTTTTTGCAGATAAAAAAGTGTTCTTACTATGTTTCATAGAAAATGGTTGTACTTGAGTTATAAAATGCACTCTAATACAAACTCGATGGTAGCAAAAAGACAGACTCGATATGTTTCTTCTTTGCATTATTTTGTGTGCATTTGCTCTTGAGGGTGTGAACAATCAATGACCTCAATTAATTGCTGCCCTTTTTAATGATCAATAATGGATTACATATTAAAGTTGATAGAATACAAATAGCTTTTTGATATTAACATTGAGTATTGTCTTAGCACAAGCAAAATAAATGAATATAATTGACGTTAAGTGTTTTTTTTCATAGATTTTAAATATCCTAAATGTCATTGTCAAATGCACTTAACTATGGATGCAAAGTGGTGATGTTGTGTTATCGAGCAATCAGCTGATTATTTTAGTGTAAAGTAAAGTGAGGAAAAAATCACAATTTGTGTAGGTTGATATCTTGAAAATCCTTTTTTTGTTTGTCCAACATTCTAAAAATCAGAGACAATTAACCATGATGAAATGTACTTGTTATAAGCCCATCTTTCTCATAGAGCAGGAGAGACCACCTGAGCCCCCAACAAGACAAATCACCCAGCAGGCTGCTTTCCTCCATCTCACCATCTCTCCATCACTAAACGTTATGTTTCTGTAATGCAGTTTGAGAGTGCCACCTCTTGCTGCTTGTCTGTCTGGAGCTCTGTCCCTGAGACACCTTTGTTTGTCTTTGACTACACAGCAGCAATGCAGTGAACCAGCTCGTCACAGATGAAATTGTTACAGTACCAAATAAGTGGTTTGTGAATAATGCTGCTGCCAACTCAATCCCCAATGTGCTATTAGCCACACTAATGCACTCAAATAAAAGAATAAACACACACGCACACTGGCCGTGGATGTTGTCTACATTTGCTATCCTGTTGCACTGGTCCCTCAGCGCTCTTACACATTAACAAGCTTACAGTGGGTTTATTGTATACTTATGCTAATGTATTAATCAAGTGTGAAATCAATAATTCATTACCTGCAGATTGCTCAGCAGTTGGAACAGCAGCCAGACGGAGGCACCCTGTTCTCTTTGATGTCTTCCTTCCTTGTTGTTTATTATGTAAGAGGAAGAGAGTACCTGGCTGAGCCTGTAGATATGAATATTTGATGCCTTTCATTTCATACCATAGCAGCCAGATGTCCAGACAGCATGCACTCAGGACTAGGACATGTCCACTGTACTTTCTCTTAGTTATACAGACCTGTAGTGTTGTCTGACCTGGTTAAGAGTCCACATGATGCTTGATGTTAAAAAGGGTGTTAAGAGAGGATTATCATCCCAACTTCATGTGATTATTCGTGGTGTAAAAGAAAAGCAGATGCTCTCAGATGATCTTGTTTTTCTTGCCTGAAGCTACAAAAGCAGTCACATCTATTTTCCTTCACATGCACTTTGAACGCATTTAAAGACTTTGTCAAAAGACTCACTGTTTTGACCATTTGCTCATTTATTTGAGCTTTACTGTTGAAATATGTTATACTCTCCCTCTCTAAATGCTTGTCCCTCCAACAGTCATGTCTTCTTGTTTCTACAG